TCTGGAACATCAGATATCCCGAGAGATACTGTTCTATTCACATATCTATTTCCAGAAGGTCACTGTGTCTGCTCATAGATTTCATCTGGACTTTTTTTGATTTGTTCTTCTACAAAATGTGTGTTTTGGGGTTGGCAACACTCTCAAAATAAATCATATGATGTGAGCGCTCATGGCACTCTTATCAACGTTTCTAATGTGCTGACCCAAAGGTTAGTGAGATTGGGTCCAGTCAACTCAGGGCTGGATGAGTCAGCGTTCTTCAACCTTGACATAAGCTAGTTTTCCTATGGTCTGTGTCCATTATTTCATTATCCTGGTGAATAACGTAAAGTTGATCAGCATCTGCTGTTGGGAAATACTTTATCCGTAGGCAAAAAAAAGAGTTTGCATGGCATCCAAAGTCAATTCCGAGCCTCACCACACAAACTTCCATGACCCTTACAGTCAACTCCAGTCACCTGTTTAGTTTGCCCTTTGGAAAGTTCATTTGCCCTTTGGAAAGTTCATGCCTTCGGTTTCTGAGACTCTGAAACAGCACAGCGTGTTCTGAACTATATTACATTGTGATACATATGAGCAATAGATACCAAGTGGGATGAGGAAATGTGTTATTGTCAGACTACAAACCCCATTAACCATACCCCATAACATAATTTATTGATTCATTCATCTTTTCAGCAGTGAAAGAAGCTAACAGTGTTTTAAACTGTGTGTTTAATCTTATAGACAAACAGAAAAGCTGATGAGTACACCATCAAAATCTAGGGTGCACATGAACAGAGATCAAGATCATCTTGTTCGTTTTCAAAGCTCAATAGTATAAAAAAGTTCTGAAGGAGACTAAACTAGGGACCATCCTAGCTTCCCTAGCGAGGGATTTCCAAATACAGTTGAACCTCAACTTAAAGGCACCCCAACTTAAGAATGTTTTGAGTTAAGAGCGCCACTTGGGTTTTGCTTTGACATATGAGCAGTGCTTTGAGTTGAGAGTGAGCACCAAGTGGGATTGCAACTGCGAGAGTTTTAAATGTAGTTGTACAAGGGTTGAATGAAAAGTAATGCCTCCACCTTCGTTACTTGGGTGATGGTTGGAGTTTTTATGTAGATATCTATCTCTGTGTGTGGGTTTTCTGTAAACGGTGTGACCCAATTGTTGATCTGGTTTGCGGATGACTAGGACATCTAGAAAAGGCAGTCTTCCTTCATTTTCCTTTTCCATGGTGAACTGGATGTTTGGGTGGATGCTGTTGAGATGGTCCAGGAACCTGTTGAGTTCTTCTTCTCCATGGCTCCAAATGGTGAAGGTGTCAACCACATATCTGAACCATATCGTGAGCTTTTTGGTTGCTGTTTCAAGGGCTTGTTTTTCAAAGTGTTCCATGTAGAAATTAGCTATGACCGGTCTGAGAGGGCTCCTCATAGCTACTCCATCTTTCTGTTCGTAGAACTCATTGTCCCACTGAAAGTAGCTGGTGGTGAGGCAATGGTGAAACAGAGCTGTGATGTCTTCTGGGAACCTCTGGTTGATGAGTGCCATGATGTCTGCTACCGGGACCATGGTCAATAGAGACACCACATCGAAGCTGATCAGTTTGTCGTTGGTCTTTAGCTTGAGATTGCTGATTTTTCAATGAAGTGGGCTGAGTCCTTGATGTAGTGTGTAGTGAGCCCAATATGGCTTTGTAACTGTAATAATTTCTCTGCCAAAGAGTGCTGGTGTCTCACCAAACTACAGCTCCCAGGATTTCATAATATGGAACCATGGAAGTTCAAGTAGTGACAAAATGCATTCATTCTACAGCGTGGATGGCATGTGGTATGACTCATTAAGTGGCAATGCCTATTACGTGGAGCTGAAGTGGGCTAGTCTAGATGGCCCCTGAGGTTTCTGCCATTCTTGTTATTATTATTATTATTATTATTATTATTATTAAAGCAAAAGTAAAGCTTTCCCCTTGACATTAAGTCTAGTCGTGTCCAAATCTGGAGAGGGTGGTGGTGCTCATCCCCATTTCTAAGCCAAAGAGCCAGCATTGCCCATAGACACCTCCAAGGTCATGTGGCCAGCATGACTGCATGGAGCCCCAGGGGGTTGCTCCTATTATTATCATTGCAAAGTCTGGGTGGCCATATGTTAGGGGGGCATTGATTGTGCTTTTTCTGCATGGCAGAAGTTAGTCGGACTAGATGGAAGTTGGTCGGACCCTGGGGTTGCTCCTATTATTATTATTATTATTATTATTATTATTATTGCAAAGTCCGGGTGGCCATCTGTTGGGGCTGTTTTGATTATGCTTTTCCTAGATGGCAGAAAGGGATTGGACTGGATAGACTCTGGAATTTCTGCTATTATTATTATTATTATTATTATTATTATTATTATTATTAAGACTGGGTGGTCATCTATTGAGGGTGCTTTGATTGTGCTTTTCCTAGATGGCAGAAGGGGATTGGAATTTATGGCCTCTGGAATTTCTGCTATTATTATTATTATTATTATTAAGACTGGGTGGCCATCTGTTGGGAGTGCTTTGATTTTGCTTTTCCTAGATGGCAGAAGGCAGTTGAACTGGATGGCTCTTGAGGTTTCTACCATCATCATCATCATCATCATCATCATTATCATCTTCTTCTTCTTCTGCATGGCAGAAGGGGGTTGGACTAGATGGCCCCTGGGGTTGTCCTATTATTATTATTATTATTATTATTATTATTATTATTGCAAAGTCTGGCTGGCCATCTGTTGGGGGTGCTTTGATTGTGCTTTTCCTGGATGGCAGAAGGGGGTTGGACTAGATGGCTCCTGAGGTTTCTCCTATTATTATTATTATTATTACTATTGTTATTGTTGTTGTTGTTGTTATTATTAGAAAAACTGGGTGGCCATCTGTTGGGGGTGCTTTGATTGTGCTTTTCCTGCATGGGAGAAGGGGGTTGGACTAGATGGCTCCTGAGGTTTCTCCTATTATTATTACTATTGTTATTGTTGTTGTTATTATTATTATTATTACAAAAACTGGGTGGACATCTGTTGGGAGTGCTTTGATTGGGCTTTTCCTGGATGGCAGAAGAGTGTTGGACTGGATGGCTCCTGAGGGTTCTCCTATTATTATTACTATTGTTATTGTTGTTTTTGTTGTTATTATTATTAGAAAAACTGGGTGGCCATCTGTTGGGGGTGCTTTGATTGGGCTTTTCCTGGATGGCAGAAGAGTGTTGGACTGGATGGCTCCTGAGGTTTCTCCTATTATTATTACTATTGTTGTTGTTGTTGTTGTTATTATTATTATTACAAAAACTGGGTGGCCATCTGTTGGGGGTGCTTTGATTGTGCTTTTCCTGGATGGCAGAAGAGTGTTGGACTAGATGGCTCCTGAGGTTTCTCCTATTATTATTACTATTGTTATTGTTGTTGTTATTATTATTATTATTATTACAAAAACTGGGTGGCCATCTGTTGGGAGTGCTTTGATTGTGCTTTTCCTGCATGGGAGAAGGGGGTTGAACTAGATGGCTCCTGAGGGTTCTCCTATTATTACATCATCATCATCATCATCATCATCATTAATATAATTGAGGCTAGATGGCCATCTGTTGGGAGTGCTTTGATTGTGCTTCTCCGGCATGATGGCAGAAGAGTGTTGGACTGGATGGCTCCTGAGGTTTCTCCTATTATTATTACTATTGTTATTGTTGTTGTTGTTATTATTATTATTATTATTATTATTATTATTACAAAAACTGGGTGGCCATCTGTTGGGAGTGCTTTGATTGTGCTTTTCCTGCATGGGAGAAGGGGGTTGGACTAGATGGCTCCTGAGGTTTCTCCTATTATTATTACTATTGTTATTGTTGTTGTTATTATTATTATTATTACAAAAACTGGGTGGCCATCTGTTGGGAGTGCTTTGATTGTGCTTTTCCTGCATGGGAGAAGGGGGTTGAACTAGATGGCTCCTGAGGGTTCTCCTATTATTATTACTATTGTTATTGTTGTTTTTGTTGTTATTATTATTAGAAAAACTGGGTGGCCATCTGTTGGGAGTGCTTTGATTGGGCTTTTCCTGGATGGCAGAAGAGTGTTGGACTGGATGGCTCCTGAGGTTTCTCCTATTATTATTACTATTGTTATTGTTGTTTTTGTTGTTATTATTATTAGAAAAACTGGGTGGCCATCTGTTGGGGGTGCTTTGATTGGGCTTTTCCTGGATGGCAGAAGAGTGTTGGACTGGATGGCTCCTGAGGTTTCTCCTATTATTATTACTATTGTTGTTGTTGTTGTTGTTATTATTATTACAAAAACTGGGTGGCCATCTGTTGGGGGTGCTTTGATTGTGCTTTTCCTGGATGGCAGAAGAGTGTTGGACTGGATGGCTCCTGAGGTTTCTCCTATTATTATTACTATTGTTGTTGTTGTTGTTGTTATTATTATTATTACAAAAACTGGGTGGCCATCTGTTGGGGGTGCTTTAATTGTGCTTTTCCTGGATGGCAGAAGAGTGTTGGACTGGATGGCTCCTGAGGTTTCTCCTATTATTATTACTATTGTTATTGTTGTTGTTGTTGTTGTTGTTACAAAAACTGGGTGGCCATCTGTTGGGAGTGCTTTGATTGTGCTTTTCCTGGATGGCAGAAGGGTGTTCCAGGGCTCTTCCACTGAAACACTGTTAGTTTATGTTGGTTAATGATGTTTTTCAAAAGTTTGGCCATGCCTGTTACGTATACATTATATAATACATAATATATACTATCATATATATGGTAAACATTTCTTGGGGCTCCACAAGAAACTTTTGCTTCAGAAAGGGCTCTGCAGCTGAACAAGTTTGAGAAGCCCTGCTCTGACATAACTGGGAGAACTGGAAAGTTATGTAATGGAGAATCAAACGAACTGCCCGTTGTGCCCGACTGAAGTCCCCCAGATTAAATGCGAGCCAGTGGCCATCTCACCTGGGCATTTGCTCCACCCCTTCTGAAGGGCAATAAATGTGTCTCCATGCCAGAGTAAGTCACTGACCTACCTGAGCTGAAGCAGATAAGATCTTCAGTAGCAAGAACGGTGTCCAACGTTGTGCCAATTGGCTGCCAGAGTCCAAACAGAGAGAATATTAACCAGGATGGATCTCCTTTCTTACTTCTCCGTGGAGACCTGGGCTCTTCTAATCCTATCCCTAGGTCTCTTGATGCTGTAAGTAACTTTACAAATAAATTCTTACTTCTTGATCAAGTTTTGTAGAAACAATGTAAGAAAAAAAACAAGTGAGAAAAAATAAAATAAAATAGATATGCCCGCAAGAAGAGGCGGGTAATAAATAAATTATTTGTAATTGTTATTCTATCAAGAAACAGCTATATATAACCTTTGGTGTATCTGCACAGTGGAATTAATGCAGTGGAATTAATGCAGTCTGGGCAGAGAAAGTGAAAGACATTGCAAAACTACAACTTCCAGGCTTCCATAGCATGGCGCCACAACAGTTAAAGTGGTGTCAAACTGCATTAATTCTACAGTGTAGCTCAGTCATGGGCTAACTTGGGCCCTCCAGGTGTTTTGGACTTCAAGTCCCACAATCCTAACAGTCTCAGGCCCATTCCTTTTCCCTCTTTAACCAGGGACCACTTTGACCAGGGACCTCTTTGACCAGGGACCACTTTGACCAGGGACCACTTTGACCAGGGCCCACTTTGACCAGGGACCCCTTTGACCAGGGCCCACTTTGACCAGGGCCCACTTTGACCAGGGCGCAATTTGACCAGGGACCACTTGGACCAGGGACCACTTTGACCAGGGACCACTTTGACCAGGGACCACTTTGACCAGGGACCCCTTTGACCAGGGACCATTTGTCCAGGGACCCCTTTGACCAGGGACTCCTTTGACCAGGGACTCCTTTGACCAGAGACCACTTTGACCAGAGCCCCCTTTGACCAGGGACCACTTTGATCAGGGACCACTTTGACCAGGAACCCCTTTGACCAGGGACCACTTTGACCAGAGACCACGTTAACCACTTTGACCAGGGACCACCTTGACCAGGGACCAGTTTGACCAGAGCCCACTTTGACCAGAGCCCACTTTGACCAGGGCCCACTTTGACCAGGGACTACTTTGACCAGGGCCCACTTTGACCAGGACCCACTTTGACCAGGACCCACTTTGACCAGGACCCACTTTGACCAGGACCCACTTTGACCAGGGCCCACTTTGACCAGGGCCCACTTTGACCAGGATCCACTTTGACCAGGGACCACTTTGACCAAGGACCACTTTGACCAAGGACTTGATCAAGGACCACTTTGACCAGGGACCACTTTGGCCAGGAACTACTTTGACCAGGGACCCCTTTGACCAGGGACCCCTTTGACCAGGGACCACTTTGACCAGGGACTACTTTGACCAGGAACCCTTTGACCAGGGACCACTTGACCAGGGACCACTTTGACCAGGGACCACTTTGTCCAGGGACCACTTTGTCCAGGGACCACTTTGACCAGGTACCACTTTGTCCAGGGACCACTTTGATCAGGGACCCCTTTGGCCAGAGACCCCTTTGATCAGGGACCACTTGTCTAGGGACCACTTTGACCAGGGACCACTTTGACCAGGGACCACTTTAATCAGGGACCACTTGTCCAGGGACCCCTTTGACCAGGGACCACTTTGACCAGGGACCCCTTTGATCAGGGACCACTTGTCCAGGGACCCCTTTGACCAGGGACCCCTTTGACCAGAGACCCCTTTGATCAGGGACCACTTGTCTAGGGACCACTTTGACCAGGGACCACTTTGACCAGGGACCACTTTAATCAGGGACCACTTGTCCAGGGACCCCTTTGACCAGGGACCACTTTGACCAGGGACCCCTTTGATCAGGGACCACTTGTCCAGGGACCCCTTTGACCAGGGACCCCTTTGACCAGAGACCCCTTTGATCAGGGACCACCAGGGATCCCTTTGACCAGGGACCCCTTTGACTAGGGACCCCTTTGACCAGGGACCACTTTGACCAAGGATCACTTGACCAGGGACCCCTTTGACCAGGGACCACTTTGACTAGGACAACATCAGAAATGTATTGTCGAAGGCTTTCATGGCCGGAATCACTGGGTTGTTGTAAGTTTTTTTGTGGGCTATATGGCCATGTTCTAGAGGCATTTCTCCTGACGTTTCGCCTGCATCTATGGCAAGCATCCTCAGAGGTAGTGCGGTCTGTTGGAACTCTGCTATTACAACAACAACAACAACAACAACAACAACAACAACAAAGGCTGGATGGCCATATGTTGGGGTTACTTTGATTGTGCTTCTACTGCATGGCAGAAGGGGATTTGAATGGATATTGGGATCTTCCAATGAAATACTCTTATGTTTATATAATATAATATAAAACCTTTCTTGGGTTTCCATGAGAAATTTCGCCTTCAAAAAGGGCTCCTCAGCTGAAAAAGTTTGTGAACTCTTGATCTACACTGTCAAATTAATATACCGTAATTTGGCAACCCTTTCACTGTTATGGCTTAAGGCTATGGACCTATGAAAGCTGTAGTTTAACAAGGCCTTTGCACTTCTCTGCCTCACCAAACTACAAATGTAGGAAACCCTGGTGACACAATAGGTTAAACCCTTGTATTGGCAAGACTGCTGATCGAAAGGTCAGCGGTTTGAATCTGGGGAGCGAGGTGAGCTCCCATCTGTCAGCTCCAGCTTCCCATGCAGGGACATGAGAGATGCTCCCACAGGGTGGTAACACATCCGGGTGTCCCCTGGACAGCATCCTTGCAGACAGCCAATTCTCTCACACCAGAAATGACTTGCAGTTTCTCAAGTCACTCTTGACATGAAAAAAACCTCTTACAAATCCTAGGAATCCATAGTACTGAGCAATGGCAGTTAAAATAGAGTCAAACTGCTTTAATTCTACAGTGTAGGTGCACCTTTAGTCCACTCTCAAACTACAGCACTGCGCTGAATCACCACAGAGATAAATAGAAGTGATTCAATGAGTCTAGCAATAGATTTCATTTCAGACTTTCTCCTAAACTAACATTGACTTCCCAAACAACAAGAATCATAGAATCATAGAATCAAAGAGTTGGAAGAGACCTCATGGGCCATCCAGTCCAACCCCATTCTGCCAAGAAGCAGGAATACTGCATTCAAATCACCCCTGGCAGATGGCCATCCAGCCTCTGCTTAAAAGCTTCCAAAGAAGGAGCCTCCACCACACTCCGGGGCAGAGAGTTCCACTGCTGAATGGCTCTCACAGTCAGGAAGTTCTTCCTCGTGTTCAGATGGAATCTCCTCTCTTGTAGTTTGAAGCCATTGTTCCGAGTCCTAATCGCCAAGGAAGCAGAAAACAAGCTTGCTCCCTCCTCCCTGTGGCTTCCTCTCACATATTTATACATGGCTATCATATCTCCTCTCAGCCTTCTCTTCTTCAGGCTAAACCTGCCCAGCTCCTTAAGCCGCTCCTCATAGGGCTTGTTCTCCAGACCCTTGATCATTTTAGTCGCCCTCCTCTGGACACATTCCAGCTTGTCAATATCTCTCTTGAATTGTGGTGCCCAGAATTGGACACAATATTCCAGGTGTGGTCTAACCAAAGCAGAATAGAGGGGTAGCATTACTTCCTTAGATCTAGACACTATGCTCCTATTGATGCAGGCCAAAATCCCATTGGCTTTTTTTGCCACCACATCACATTCCTGGCTCATGTTTAACTTGTTGTCCACGGGGAAAATCCCATTGGCTTTTTTTGCCGCCACATCACATTGTTGGCTCATGTTTAACTTGTTGTCCACGAGGACTCCAAGATCTTTTTCACACGTACTGCTCTCAAGCCAGGCATTGTCCCCCATTCTGTATCTTTGCAGTTTTTCTGCCAAAGTGGAGTATCTTGCATTTGTCACTGTTGAACTTCATTTTGTTAGTTTTGGCCCATCTCTCTAATCTGTCAAGATCGTTTTGAATCCTGCTCCTGTCCTCTGGAGGTCTATGGTGGCTCCCAAAACTGTAGTTCTATAGCAGTGTTTCTCAACCTGGGGGTCGGGACCCCTGAGGGGGTCGCGAAGGGGTGAGGGAGGGGTCGCCAAAGACCATCAGAAAACACAGTATTTTTTGTTGGTCATGGGGGTTCTGTGTGGGAAGTTTGGCCCAATTCTATCATTGGTGGGGTTCAGAACGCTCCTTGATTGTAGGTGAACTATAAATCCCAGGATCTACAACTCTTAAATGTCAAAGTCTATTTTCCCCAAACCCCATCAGTGTTCACATTTGGGCATATTGAGTATCCATGCCAAGTTTGGTCCAGATCCATCATTGTTTGAGCCCACAGTGCTCTCTGGATGTAGGCGAACTACAACTCCCAAACTCAAGGTCAATGCCCACCAAACCTTCCAGTATTTTCTGTTGATCATGGGAGTTCTCTGTGCCAACTTTGGTTCAATTCCATGGTGGGTTCAGAATGCTCTTTGATATTGTAGGTGAACTATAAATCCCAGCAACTACAACTCCCAAATGACAAAATCAATCCCCCCGCAACCCCACCAGTATTCAAATTTGGGCATATCGGGTATTTGTGCCAAATTTGCTCCAGTGAATGAAAATACATCCTGCAGATCATTATTTACATGGTGATTCATAATGTTAGGGTTATGGTTGGGGGTCACCACAACATGAGGAACTGTATTAAGGGGTCGCGGCATTAGGAAGGTTGAGAACCACTGTTTTACAACATTGTTGTTCATGAGGACTCCAAGATCTTTTTCACACGTACTGCTCTCGAGCCAGGCATTGTCCCCCATTCTGTATCTTTGCATTTCATTTTTTCTGCCAAAGTGGAGTATCTTGCATTTGTCACTGTTGACCTTCATTTTGTTAGTTTTGGCCCATCTCTCTAATCTGTCAAGATCGTTTTGAATCCTGCTCCTGTCCTCTGGACTATTGGCTCCCCCTCCCGCAGACTAGGTATTTTATTTATTTATCGTGTCATCCGCAACCAGAACATTGTATTACATTTCTAACAGAACAAAACAAACAAACAGATAAAAAACACACAAATTTTGCAAACTTGGTAGCTGATTAAATGTCCTTTGACCAGTATCTGGCCACTTGGAGTGCCTCTGGTGTTGCCGCAAGAAGGTCCATCGTGCATCTCCTTGAGAGAGAGAAGCCCGAGGACCGCGCCTAAAGGGCTCTGGGTCCCTTGGTGAGGCCAGCGAGAGCCAATCCAAAGAGTAAAAATATTACAAATAATAATGCCTCATCCAAGTGGAAGAAGTTTCTTTTCAGCAACCGAGGTTTATTGTGATTCAGCTGAGATCAGATGCATTGCAGGAATCATTCCACTGCAAGCATAATTTTACAGAATTTCCAAGCATTTTTATAGTACACAGACAAAGGGAAACAGTTTCAAAACTCCCGCCCGCCCTCTGTCAGCCGGCTTCGTGCTGATTGGCTGGCCGCGGAACAGCTGGGAGGAGGCTTGGCAGCATGCCTCGCCTCTGGACCAATCAGCGGGCTCCACTGCCTCTGGGAGGCCAATCAGTGCCTTCCTAGCGCCTCTGAAGATGGACCAATCGGCAGCTAGGAGGCGGGACGAAGCCTGACAAAGACTGAGGAAATGACAGCCTTAAGGGGAATGTGAGGCTTTTGTCCTCACCGGCGGGGTGACAGATAGGGGGAACAATGAGTTTCCTGGTTTATGATTGGATTTGGGAGGAAGTATGAAAAGGAGCTTTTGATGGTATTTGGACCTCAGAGCCTTGTAAACAAGGGGGATCAACAAATACCTAAAATGGTACAATCAGTCTTTTATCCCTGAGTTTCTGTTGACCCTTCTCTCATCTTACTGTCTGCTCTGAAAGTAAGTTTGAAGAGGGGGTCAACTATACGGCCCATGCAATTGTAAATATGAACCATTTCGGGAGGACAAAGGGTTTCCTCCCTGTCACAGTAATCCTTAGGTCACATTCCTTTTGGGGCAGGGTCAAAGAGGGGAAGCAGGGAGGGGAACCAGAGTACATTTCTTATATTTCATTACATACATTTTATATTTCATGAGGCAATCCCATCCCCATCCCCAGCGAAAGTTTATTACAATATTGGATCTTTATTATAACGCAAACTGGAGATCTCATAGTCCTTTGGCAAAGGTGCGTGGAAACTGAGGCTGCTTGCATTTCAAGGCAAGCACCAGAAGGAAGTTCGTGGCCAGGGATGTGGCAAACAGTTCAGTTCATGAAGCAGAGAGTCAATAAGAAAAAGGCAGAAGCCCAGTGATGGGCGCTGGGTTGGGTAGTAGCAGAGTCCATAGTCCAGTGCATAAGTCAGAGAGTTCACAAAGAGGAGACAGGAACCCAGTTATGTGCGCTGGGTCAGGAAGCAGCAGAATCCATTGTCCAGCCCTTGGCGAACTACAAATACTTGGGAGGGGGGGGGAAAAGATGCTCGGCATCACCACCTTGTGCATGTGGCAGGGCTCAGGTTGCATTGCAGCAGGTGGTCAGTGGTTTGCTCTTCTCCACACTCGCATGTCGTGGATTCCACTTTGTAGCCCCTTTTCTTAAGATTGGCTCTGCATCTCATGGTGCCAGAGCGCAGTCTGTTCAGCGCCTTCCAAGTTACCCAGTCCTCTGTGTGCCCAGGGTGGAGTCTCTCATCTGGTATCACCCACGGATTGAGGTTCTGGGTTTGAGCCTGCCACTTTTGGACTCTTGCTTGCTGGGGTGTTCCAGTGAGTGTCTCTGTAGATCTAAGAAAACTATTTCTTGATTTAAGTCGTTGATGTGCTGGCTGATACCCAAACAAGGGATGAGCTGGAGATGTCTCTGCCTTGGTCATTTCACTATTGGCTGCAACTTCCCGGTAAAATCCCGAAAGTGGGCCTTGAAATGTTTTTCTAAATACTCTTTCTGCAAACAGACCACTTTAAATCAAGAAGCAAGTTGAGGAGGGGGAAAAAACCCATCCTCCAGACCCAAACAAAGAATTCCTTTGATTCTTCAATTCAGGCCACAGCTCCTAACTCGGCTTTGATTCCTCAGCAATAAATATGTGCAAGCAGCATTTTTATTTTTCCTCTCTTCGTGCGCTCTTTGGCTCCGGCTTCCTATCTGGGTGCCTTGGTTTGGCAAAGAGCCGGGAGAGAAATCTCAGCCTCTCTCTCCCTTTCTCTCTCCTTGCTCAAGCCTTGAAGGCCCGGTCTCCACGAGGGCACCTTTCCCTTTATGAAATGATTGCTTTTACCTCGGGGTTATCTTCTTCCTCTGAAGATGTGTGCCGCAGCAGCAAGCGTGCGCCGGGCGCTTTATCAACAGCAGGGCTTATTAAACACTCTCTCAAAGCCCTTATTGCCAAAGTGGGAGGGAAAAGGATGAAGGCGGGGGGGATGTCGACAGCATATTTTCTTTCTTTCTTTCCCTGGACCAGCGTAAATGCTCAGTTCCCGAGTTAACATTAACAACTTGACCGCCTCTGGGAACGGTTTCAAAGATCTTTCATCCCAACATTGTGTTCTATTTATGAAAGGATGGGGTGCCGCTGTTTTTCCCCCCCCTAACAGCTAAGCTAATTTTGCTTAAATGGAACATCACTTTCCTTCTTCTATCTGCACTATCCAGAAGCCGGCTTTTGTCTCCCTCTTGCAAATTACCTGTTTCCAATATGGAAGTCATCACACTTTGCTCTCTCTTTTTCTGGCCCTCCATTCTTAATCACAGCTGTGTGATACTGCACAAGACGATCCTTCAGTGCCCACATTCATCAAACATTTCTCTGGGTTGTTGTAGGTTTTTGGGGCTGTATGGCCATGTCCTAGAAGCATTCTCTCCTGACGTTTTGCCTGCATCTGTGGCAAGCATCCTCAGAGGTTGTGAGGTCTGTTGGTAACTAGGAACATTGGGTTTATATATCTGTGGAATTTTTTTTTTGTCATGTCAGGAGCGACTTGAGAAAGTGCAAGTCGCTTCTGGTGTGAGAGAATTGGCTGTCTGCAAGTACGTTGCCCAGGGGATGCCCAGATGATTTGATGTTTTTATCATCCTTGTGGAAGGCTTCTCTCATGTCCCCGCGTGAGGAGCTGGAGCTGATAGAGGGAGCTCATCCGCCTCTCACTGGATTCGAACCTGCGACCTGTCGGTCTTCAGTCCTGCCGGCACAGGGGTTTAACCCACTGCGCCTCCGGGGGCTTGCAGTGGGTTAAAATTACTGGTGAGGTGCTTAATCAAAAGCACACCAGAACATCCAGGTTTTTAGTTGACTACGAAAGGAGGACAAGGTGGGAGCCTGTCTGATCTCCCTAGGGAGGGAGTTCCAGAGCCAGGGACCACTACCGAGAAGGCTCTCTCCCTCGTCCCTACCAACCGTACATGTGACGGCGGGGGGAGAGAGAGCAGTGCCTCCCCAGAAGATCTCAAGGTACGCACTGGTTCATAGGGGAAGATGCGATCGCGAAGATAAGCAGGTCCCAAACTATTTAGGGCTTTATAGGTGATGACCTGCACCTTGAATTGGGAATGGAAACTGTATCTAATTCTGGGCATCACAATTCCAGAAAGATATTGACAAGATGGAAGGTGTCCAGAGGAGGACAACTAAAAGGATCAAAGGTCTGGAGACCAAGAATTTTTTGGAGGATCGTCTTAAAGAATTAAGTCTCTTTTGTCTCAGAAGAGAAGGTTGAGAGGAGACATGATCTCCATCTTTAAATATGTGAAAGGATGTCATAAGGAAGAGGGAGCAGGCTTGTTTTCCGCTGCTCTGGAGACTAGGACTTAATGGAGCCATGGGTTCAAATGACAAAAAAAAAAAAAGAGTTTCCACTTCAACATTAGGAAGAACCTTCTGACCATAAGAACCGTTCAACAGAGGAACTCACAGCCTCTGAGTCTGGTGGGTGCTCCTTTGGAGGCTTTTAAACGGGTTGGATGGCCATCTGTCAGGGGTACTTTGAATGTACTTTTCCTTCATGGCATGGGGTTGGACTGGATAGCCTATGCGGTCTCTTCCAACTCTATGATTCTATGATTCTATGTAATTTGTTTCACCATACACAATGGCCATCATGGTAATCTATAAGGAGTGGCTTAAGGAGCCCTATGAGGAGCGGCTTAAGGAGCTGGGCATGTTTAGCCTGAAGAAGAGAAGGCTGAGAGGGGATATGATAGCCATGTATAAATATGTGAGAGGAAGCCACAGGGAGGAGGGAGCAAGCTTGTTTTCTGCTTCCCTGGAGAGTAGGACGCAATGGAACAATGGCTTCAAACTACAAGAGAGGAGATTCCATCTGAACATGAGGAAGAACTTCCTGACTGTGAGAGCCGTTCAGCAGTGGAACTCTCTGCCCCGGAGTGTGGTGGAGGCTCCTTCTTTGGAAGCTTTTAAACAGAGGCTGGATGGCCATCTGTCAGGGGTGATTTGAATGCAACATTCCTGCTTCTTGGCAGAATGGGGTTGGACTGGATGGCCCAGGAAGTCTCTTCCAACTCTTTGATTCTATGATTCTATCTACCATTTCATCTTTCAACATACTTTTCTGCTTTACAGATATGGCATCTGGCCTTTCGGGGTCTTCAAAAAGTTGGGCATACCAGGACCTAGACCCCTCCCTTTCATCGGGACTGCTTTGGCCTATCGCAAAGTAAGCTCACAAATATTGATTGACATTTTGCAATATGGGGGGTTTCTACTTCTGCCAGTAACTCACTTGATGTCCTTCACCACTTCCTTATGCCATACATGAAGGTGAACAGACGTCCTGTTGTAAACTAACCACAGTTCCTTGTAATGCCTGAATCCACTCATCTGTGTCTTGTAAAAATGAATGTATCTAGGATTGTGTCTGCATTTTACTGAATCTTGGTACAACTGATTGTAGTCTATTGTGGTGCTTCATTTTGACTCTATATTAAAATGTTTCCTTGCAGGGACTCTTGGCGTTTGACAAAGCCTGTTTTAAGAAATATGGAAAAATCTGGGGGTAAGCAGCATATATTCTTTTTATTTGCCAATCTCTACTGAAATGATTGCTAGCTTAAGCAACTCAAATCTTAGAACAGTGTTTCTCAACCTTCCTAATGCCGCGACCCCTTAGTACAGGTCCTCATGTTGTGGTGACCCCCAACGATAATGTTATTTTCATTGCTACTTTACAACTGTAATTTTGCTACTGTTATGAATCGTCATGTAAATATCTGATATGCAGGATGTATTTTCTCTCACTGGAACAAATTTGGCACAAATACCCAATAAGCCCAAATTTGAATACTGGTGAGGTTGGGGGTGATTGATTTTGTCATTTGGTAATGCTGGAGTTGCTGGGATTTATAGTTCACCTAAAATTAAAGAGCCTTTTGAACTCCACCAATGATGGAATTGAATTGAACTGGGCACACAGAATTCCCATGACCAAGAGAAAATACTGAGAAGGTCTGGTGGACATTGACCTTGAGTTTTTTGGAGTTGTAGTTCACCTACTTCCAGAGAACACTGTGGATTCAAGCAATGATGGATCTGGATCAAACTTGGCACAAATACTCAATATGTCCAAATGCGAACACTGGTAGAGTTTGGAGAAAATAGACCTTGCCATTTGGGAGTTGTAATTATTGGGATTTATAGTTTACCCACAATGAAATAGCATTCTGAACCCCACCGATAGAATGGGACCAAACTTTCCACACAGAACCCCCATGATCAAAAGAAAATACTATGTTTTCTGATGGTCTTTGGCGACCCCTCTGACACCCCCTCGTGACCCCCACGGGGGTCCCGACCCCTAGGTTGAGAAACACTGTCTTGGAGAGAAAAAAAACAGACCTGGACCCACAAAGTCTCTTATTTTAAAAACCCACCAATTTTCAACAATTAGAGCACAAAATTTTTGTCCTAGGTTTTACGATGGCCGAACCCCAGTCTTGGCCATCACCGATCCAGCTGTCATCAAAGCGGTCTTAGTGAAGGAGTGCTACTCGGTTTTCACCAATCGGAGGGTAAGTTTCCATTTGAGAACTGCTGCCCTGGAGACTAGGATGTAGAACAATGGCTTCAAACTACAAGAAAGGAGATTCCACCTGAACTTTAGGACTATGAGAGCTGTTCAACAGTGGAACTCTCTGCCCCGGAGTGTGGTGGAGGCTCCTTCTTTGGAGGCTTTTAAGCAGAGGCTGGATGGCCATCTGTCAGGGGTGATTTGAATGCAATATTCCTGCTTCTTGGCAGAATGGGGTTGGACTGGATGGCCCATGAGGTCTCTTCCAACTCTTTGATTCTATGATTCTTGCAAGGTGGGAAAAATCACTCTTTAACCTGATGATCCAAACTCATCCTCTCTCTCTTAGACCAGGATTGTGGCGCAGCTGGCTGAGTGTCAGCTGCATCAAGATCACTCTGACCAAAAGGTCATGAGTTCGAAGCCAGCCTGGGTTGGAGTGGGCTTCCAACCAATTGTGCAGCCTGTTTATTTATTTATTTATTTATTTACCTTACTTATATACCGCTGTTCTCAGCCCGAAGGCGACTCACAGCGGTTCACAACAAATACGAACAGCAAAAATTCAGTGCTACAGTATAGAAACAGTTAACAACCTAACACATTACACAATTAATAAACAGTTACTACAATACCCATTCACTGTCGTCTCGTCATCAAAAACATGTTCCAGATTCGTCATCCATTGTTCCATTCCAGTGTTCATTAACCAATCATTGCACTAATTATTCAAACGCCTGCTCAAACAGCCAGGTCTTCACTTTTTGCGGAATACCATTAGAGATGGTGCTAGTCTAATGTCCGTAGGAAGGGCGTTCCACAGCCGAGGAGCCACCACCGAGAAGGCCCTATTTATTTATTTATTTATTTATTTATTATTTGCTGCATTTGTTGACCGCCGCTCTCAGCCCTAGGGCGACTCGCGGCGGTGTACAACATATAAAAACAGTTTACAATAAAGCACAACAAGAAATCAACATATCAATAATACACACTAATCTAAATTACACTAACTAATCCACATCGTCACAACATAGAATCATAACCAATCTCATAATCCGTATACCGTTCCAGTTGTCCTTACCAGTCAATGTAGCACTCAGTTAAATGCCTTCTCAAATAGCCAGGTCTTTAGGCTTTTACGGAAAGCCATAAGGGAGGGCGCCTGTCTGATGTCAACAGGGAGGGTGTTCCACAGCCGGGGGGCCACCACCGAGAAGGCCCTCTCTCTCGTCCCCACCACGTGCCTGTGAGGCAGGCGGGATCGAGAGAAGGGCCTCCCCGGAAGATCTCAAAGTCCTGGTGGGTTCATAGGCAGAGATGCGGTCGGATAGGTAGCTTGGGCAGGAACTGTTTAGGGCTTTAAAGGCCAACGTCAGCACTTTGAATTGAGCCGGTAGCAGATCGGTAGCCAGTGGAGTTGGCGCAACAGGGGGGTTGTATGCTCCCTGCGCTCCGCTCCTGTTAAAATCATGGCTGCCGAGCGTTGGACTAGTTGGAGCTTCCGGGCTGTCTTCAAAGGCAACCCCACGTAGAGAGCGTTGCAGTGGTTGGAGTGGGTTTCCAACCAATTATGTGTAGCCTGGTGTCGACCTTTGCAACCCGAAAGACAGTTGCATCTGTCAAGTAGGAAAATAAGGTACCACCTTAAAGTGTGGGGAGGCTAAATTAACTGATTTATGAGGCCATAAAGAAGACTCCAGCAGGGAAGCATGCGGGGAATGCGGAAGTACTTCATCAGCGTCGCAGATGGACAATGAAAGCGACAGCTCCCCTGGCGGCCAGAAAAAGTTAAATAGCCTCTGTGTATGTCTGTATATGTTGTATGTCAAAATTGGCATTGAATGTTTGCCATATATGTGTACACTGTAATCCGCCCTGAGTCCCCTGGGGTGAGAAAGGCGGAATAGAAATACTGTAAATAAATAAAAGAATAAATAATTGAGTAACTCTTGATCGTGTGTACCATAAGGACCATCCAGCCCAACTCCCATTCCCAAGAACAAGCATGGCTGAAGGCGCAGAGAAGATTAGGAAATGTGAAGATTAGGAAATTAGGAAATGTGATGGTGAAGGACAAGTGTGATGGTGAAGGACGCACTACAGCAGGCCTGGGCAAACTTGGGCCCTCCCTCCAGGTGTTTTGGACTTCAACTCCCACAATTCCTAACAGCCAGTAGGTTGTTAGGAATTGTGGGAGTTGAAGTTCAAAACACATGGAAGTTTGCCCAGGCCTGCACTAGAGACTGAACTTTTCCTGAACCATATGGATGAGCTTATTTATTTATTTCATGCATTTTTACTCCACCCTTCTTCCCTGGAAAGGGGTCTCAGGGTGGCCTCACACAAGCACCATATGATGCTATCAACATATCATCCAAAAGACATTAAAGACATTAAAAAACATCATACAATTCATTAAAACAATAACTTAAACATGCCAGTTAAAACCATATCCAAGTCTGGGCAGATTCAATGTCACATTGTCAATTGCCTATCTATCGACTAATCAAATGCCTGGTCCCAAAGCCATGTCTTCAATTGTCTTCTAAAGGACAGGAGGGAGGTGGCCAACCTGATGTCCCTGGGGAGAGAGTTCCATAGATGGGGGGCCACTGCAGAGAAGGCCCTGTCTCTCGTTCCCACCAACTGCGTTTGTGATAGTGGTGGGATCGAGAGCAGGGCCTCTCCTGAAGATCTTAAACTTCGTGATGGTTCATAACAGGAGATACATTCGGACAGGTAATCTGGGCCAGAACCATTTAGGGCTTTAAAGGTTAAAACCAGCACCTTGAATTGTGCTCAGAAGCTGATCGGCAACCAGTGGAGCTAGCACAACAGAGGAGTTGTATCCTCACTGTATGCTGCTCCGCTGAGCAACCTGGCTGCCGACCGTTGGACTAGTTGAAGCTTCCGGGCAGTCTTCAAAGGCAGCCCCACATAGAGAGCATTGCAGTAGTCTATTCGGCATGTAACAAGAGTGTGGACCACCATGGCCAAGTCAGATGGGTTACCATCCTGTCCTCACATGGGAAGCAGTAGCAGAGTTATTTGGATACACAACAGGGTTTTATTACCCTGCATTTCAAAGGATAGGAAGAAAAAATGGAGATGAGAAGGAGAAGGAGGATGCCAATAGAGACCTTAATGCAATCCATACCAGAAACTTTTATTGTTTTTTGTTTTTCCATCACCAATTTCAGAAATTTGGCCCAACTGGCAAACTGGAAAGTGCCGTTTCCATTGCTGAAGATGAAAACTGGAAGAGGATCCGCACCGTGCTCTCTCCAACCTTCACCAGTGGAAAGCTGAAGGAGGTAAGAACGTGCAGACGGTTTGCAACAAACCACCACGAGAAGCAATGTATGAGGGTTGAATGAAAAGTAATGCCTCCAGCTGGAAATCTTTGGAAACGGCCGTCAGCTAGAACAGGCTGATTTCTCCTTAAATGAAGAAAAATCCAAACTGCAATGTCTGAAGAGTGATGGTAAGCTTGGCCTGTGCAGCTCTCTCTCCTTCAGTGATGTTTGGCTTCAGATGTTTTTCTGCCAGAGGCAAGGAACAAAACACTGCCTTCCCCTGCACCACAATCCCATGTAGGGAGCCTGACTTGACTGGCAACTGGCCGACTCTATTGCCTCTGAAGACAACAGGGTGGTTTTGGGAATGAAGGGCAGGATTCACAAGGAACATCAAATGTCACCCCCCGTGACCTTAATGTCACTCTCTGACCCCCAGCATCTGCTGCCTGAGGCTGTTTCCTCATTTTGTCCAAGTTCAGCCTTGCCTTTAGACTTTGGAAAGCGGAGCAAAGTGAATCTTCTCAAAGTGGACTTTGGAGTTTATTTATTATGATGATCATAATAGAAGAATCATTGCGTACATTCTGTTACTGACGGAACGTATGCAATTTTTCTTATATTGCAATCTATATAAATAAAAATGTAATGTTCGTTTGTGGGATTAGCATAACTCTAAAACCACTGGACAAACGGACATGAAATTTGGACACAATACGTCTAACAGACCAATAAGTGTCCATCCTCCCTAAACACACACACTCACAACCCCAGCGGAACAGACTTAAAAACACAAAAAATACAACATATATACATATATACACATACACTCATATACATATACACATGCACACATTCATACACACACACACACACACACATATATGCACAAACACACACAAATGTACACATATACACACATACATATACATACACACATATACACATTCATGCACACACATATATATGTATACACACAAACATGCATATAGACAGGCACACACATATACACAATATGCATGTACACATATAAACACACAAATACACATATATAAACACCCATATATATATATATATATATACACACACACACACACACACACACACACACACACACCCATACACACACAAACACACATATATAAATGAATATACACACACACATAAACATATATATACACACACAAAACACATATACACAGACTGGGCCACAGCAACGCATGGCAGGGGACGGCTAGTTTATATAAATAAAAATGTAATGTAATGTTGTGAAGGAGCGTAAAATTACTGCCACCAAATTTGTGAGAAAAGCCAGGCAATGATCAATATCAGCTTAGGAGCTAGTTTATAAAGGGACTATTATTTGCAGAAGTATTTATTCATTTGATAGCGTAGCGTTTTCTGTCCCTGGTTTGGTTTTTCGTCTTATGTAGGCTGTTTGACTTAGGAGAAACTGTATCAGGCAAGGCTTGAGGATAACAGTAACAAATTTATTTAACAGGAGTATAACATATTCAGTTGTTTCTTCACAAGAGGCACAAATCTTGATTGGTTACATTAGTAAGGTTTCATGAGCAACTTTAGGTACAGACTTTAAGAGGTTTCTGTAAGCAGATATATCTTTCCTGGACAACTCTTCTAATAAAACAAATAAGCTAAAAGGCTTATTTAACAGAATTGGCTCCCAGACAAACCCTGATTCTTAATATTAAAGAACCAGTCTTCCCTATAGTTCTCTAACTATAGTATTCCTGATGGTTTTCCACACACCACAAGATCAACTACCTTCTCCTGTAACTCTTTGGTCACAGACTAGTTCCCTGAATCGCCACCTAGAGATTTCAGTCTTCCCTGTAACTCTACCGGTCACAGACTAGTTCCCCGTTTCTCTCACTAGAGAAATCAGTCCTTTCTGCAACTCTAATAGTCACAGACTCTTCCCTGATTCCCTCACTAGAGAAATCAGTCTTCCCTGTAGCTCACCGGCTTACAGACTGCCTATTTCAAACAGCTGCCCCGTGAAGTGACAGTTGGCTCCGCCCCTGTTGCTATGGCAACTCAGCTCAAGCCAAACCAGCCACCATCTCTAACAAAATATAATCCTACATACTTACCATTTATTAACTACTGTTTAAACAACACATAACCATAGAAATAAAATTACACATCATCACAAATGTAATAAAATGTAATGTAATAAAAATGTAATGTTCGTTTGTGGATTAACATAACTCTAAAACACTGGACGAATTGACACCAAATTTGGACACAAGACACCTCTAAGGCCAAGAAGTAACCATCACACATTAAAACACCAAAAACACAGCAAAAAAGATTTTAAAAGCTAACCCCCCCCCCAAAAAAAAACAATAACGCATGCACAAAACCACATATATATATACGGAAACACACATATACACAAATATATACACATGCAAAACACATATACACAGACTGGGCCACAGCATCATGTGACAGGGAACAGCTAGTCTATATAAATAAAAATGTAATGTTCGTTTGTGGGATTAACATAACTCAAAAACCACTGGATGAATTGACACCAAATTTGGACACAATACACATATCAGGCCAATGACTGACCATCACTCATAAAAACAATGGGGAAAAAAGCAGAAGAGACTTAAAAAGCCAAAAAATTAAAAAAATCATTACAACGAGTGCACAAAACTACACATATATATGCAAACGCACATATATACACACACAAAACACATATACACAGACTGGGCCACAATAACGTGTGGCAGGGGACAGCTAGTATCATAATAAATGCATTCATTACACGTTGGTTTTGTTGTCATTCTACTCTACTACATTGTATGGCATTGTGTTGCCTCATCAGTCTGTTTTCGGAACGAAAGATGAGGCAGGGCTCAATGGGAATGCCATCATCCTAACCTTGTTTTCCTATTTTCTGCTCCACCTACCAAGATGCTCCCTATCATCCAGCACTATGCAAAAAGCCTCATCAAAAACTTTGCAGAAAAAGCAGACAAAGGAGAGCCTGTGGACATTAAAGAGTGAGTAACCGTCCTCGTACATCTATCCATTTGAGTCATGCTTCATCACGGGGAAGAGGGGCTGTTTTCTGGGGAAACTCCATTTCTGCAGTGATGCATCTGTCTATTGGGAAGACTGAGAAGGAAAATGTGGAATGATGGAGACTGGAGGCTGCGGCCTGTCCAAGAGATGCCAAAAATGACAACAAGAGGCAGGACTTTTTCACTGTTGCTTATCAAAGCAGATAATTATTTATTTATTATTTATTTGTTTTGAGGTTTTATATACCAACCCTCTCACCTTCAAAGAGAGATTCGGACCGGTTCACAACATGTGTTAACATACAAAAAAATACAATAACAACACAATGCCAATTCATTACACGATTAAAATATCAGCACCATACACATTAAAACATTATCATCCCAGTTAAAAGAGCCAAATTGTCCTACACCATCACAATCCCATTCATCATCCTCCTTTCATGTGGGCAAAGAATTAAATCAGTTGTCAAATGCCGCGTTCCACAACCAGGTCTTTGTTAATTTCCTGAACGTCATGAGGGAGGGGGCAGTTCTGGTCTCTAATGGGCGGGAGTTCCAAAGTCGAGGGGCCACCATCGAGAAGGCCCTGTCCCTCGTCCCCACCAGCCGTGCTTGTGCAGGCGGTGGGACCGAGAGCAGGGCCCCTCCAGACGATCTTAATGGTCTTGATGGTTCGTAGGGGAGAATACGTTAAGGTAAACAGGGCCGGAGTAGGAGAGGTAAACAGGGCCGGATAATCCACATTATCTGCTTTGAATTGGATTATATGAGTCTACATTGCCATATAATCCAGCTCAAAGCAAATAATCTGGATTTTATATGGCGGTGTAGCAGAGGCCTAGGAGAATAGGACCCACATTACTTGCGTCCTTAGGATTGTGTTTTGGACACTCCAACTTCTTCTTTCTCTCTATCTCCCCCCCCCCCTTATTGTTATGATTGCTCTTCTTCCTCCCCCATAGCCATGCGACCACCTGGAAGCACCTTCCCGGCTTGGTAGGTAGGTAGAGAGTGGCATTGTACCCTTAAGAGAGAGAGAGAGGGAGAGAGAGGAGGAGGAGGAGGGGGGAAAACAGAAGGAGACTGTGTTTTGGAGACTGATTGCTGCAGGATTTGACATTTTTTTCTGACCCCTTTCTTCTCCAATTGCCTCTCTTTAGTGTCATTGGACCCTACAGCATGGACGTGGTCACCAGCAGCTCCTTTGGGGTCAACATCGATTCCATGAACAACTCCCAGGATCCTTTTGTCAAGCACGCCAAGAAACTTGTGAAGTTTAACTTTTTCTCTCCGTTATTTATTCTAATGTGTAAGTTGTTCTGCTTTGGAATCAGTCTTCCTTCTTGCTGCTGTTGTTGTTGTTATGTTATGTTATGTTGTGTTCCACTCTTTGGATAGGCTGGAAATCCATTCAGTGGTGAAAAAAATGGATAGAGAGTCACAGTCCATGCCATAATTTATGGCTTGGTGGGGAAAAATAAGTATTGCTCTGTATTGTTGAAGGCTTTCATGGCTGGAATCACTGGGTTGTTGTAGGTTTTTTTGGGCTATATGGCCGAACAGGGCATAGGGTTACAGCCTGTGTTGGACGGGGTCACTTTCCCCCTGAAGATGCAGGTTCGCAGCTTGGGAGTGATCTTGGACTCGTTGCTGAGCCTGTAACCTCAGGTTTCAGCGGTGACCAGGGGAGCATTCGCACAGTTAAAACTTGTGTGCCAGCTGCGTTGCAGTAGTCTATATGGGATGTAACCAGAGCGTGGACTACCATACCTTGGGAAGTCTGACTTGGCCACGGTAGTCCACGCTCTGGTTACATCCCGTATAGACTACTGCAACGCTCTCTACGTGGGGTTGCCTTTGAAGACTGCTCGGAAGCTTCAAATGGTCCAGCGCTCGGCAGCCAGGTTGCTAACAGGAGCAGCACTCAGGGAGCATACAACTCCTCTGTTGCGCCAGCTCCACTGACTGCCAGTTTGCTACCGGGCACAATTCAAAGTGCTAGCATTAGCCTATAAAGCCCTAAATAGTTCTGGCCCTACTTATCTCTACGAACGCATCTCCTCCTATGAACCGACTAGGACACTAAGATCATCTGGGGAGGCCCTGCTCTCAGTCCCGCCTGCATCACAGGTACATCTGGCGGGGATGAGAGACAGGGCCTTCTCAGTGGTGGCCCCTCGGCTGTGGAACGCCCTGCCTGCAGATATCAGATCGGCCCCCTCCCTGCTGGCATTTCGGAGGAAAGTGAAGACCTGGCTGTTTGAACAAGCATTTGATTAAACAGTGTAATTGAACATAGGAATAGGGAATAATGGATGATGAGACTGGATTCTGATTTTACTGTTGAGGCATTAATGATTGTTATACTGATGTTTAATGATTTACGTTACAATTGTTTTTAATTGCCCTATATTTGTTTCGTGATGTTTTGTATCGATGTTGTTCACCGCTTTGAGTCGCCTGAGGGCTGAGAAAAGCGGTATATAAATAAAGTAAATAATACATAAATAAATAAATGTTCTAGAAGCATTCTCTCCTGAAGTTTCACCTACATCTATGGCAAGCATCCTCAGAGGTTGTTCGGACCTCACAACCTCTGAGGATGCTTGCCATAGATGCAGGCGAAACGTCAGGAGAGAATGCTACTAGAACATGGCCATATAGCCCGAAAAACATACAACAACCCAATTATTGCTCTCTGTCCACATCCCTCAAAGCTTTGGGAGACGGTGATCGGGCATTCGGACAATGTGGACAGTCCAGCGGAGTTGATGGTGGAGGACCATCACTTCAATGCCACTGAGAGAAAATGTATTCAGAATGCATAATACAATGGATATACGTTTTCAGTTAAATATCTTTAATTTAAAAAACTTGCAAACTGGTGCTGAAATGGAATACAATGAGTGTGGGCTTCAAGATATTTGAATGCCATCGTACCAAAAGCAGTAGGTTTTCCTGCCGCTTGCAATATCCTTCCTCTGTGCAAATAGCTACATGTCACTTACTTAGGTGATCCCTCATTGTCCAAGTAAGTTTGGTGTTCTGGCGGTGGGTTCCGTAGGTGTCTGTGGAGCCCTATTCTTGCTCTGCATCTTCTCCCGCAGTGAGGGCATTGGTTTCCAGGTGGAAGGCGGTCCCAGTTGGGGCTGGCTTGATGCGCCTTCCTCTTGGCCCTCTATTCGCGCTTCTTTGAATTCTGCAGCACTGCTGGTCACAGCTGACCTCCAGCTAGAGCGCTCAAGGGCCAGGGCTTTCTACTTCTCAGCGTCTATGTGACAGTTTTCTCCCTTTTGCCCTCTATTCGTGCCTCTTTGAATTTTGCAGTACTGCTGGTCACAGCTGACCTCCAGTTAGAGCACTCAAGGACCAGGACTTCCCACTTCTCGGTGTCTATGTGACAGATTTTAAGGTTGGCTTTGAGTCCATCTTTCAATCTCTTTTCCTGCCCTCCAACATTCCGTTTTCCGTTCTTGAGTTCGGAATAGAGCAACTGCTTTGGGAGACGGTGGTCGGGCATCTGAACATGGCCGGTCCAGCGGAGTTGATGGCAGAGGACCGTCGCTTCAGTGCTGGTGGTCTTTGCTTCTTCTAGCACGCTGACATTTGTCTGGCTGTCTTCCCAAGAGATTTGCAGGATTTTTCGGAGGCAGCGCTGATGGATCGTTCCAGGAGTTGCTTGTGATGTCTGTAGACAGTCCACGTTTCGCAGGTGTATAGCAGGGTTGGGAGGACAATAGCTTTGTAAACAAGCACCTTGATATCCCTATGGATGTCCCCGTCCCAGGGGCGGCTCAACCATTACGCAAAGTAAGCATTTGCAGTATAGTTGATTTTGCCCAGGGGGGCAAAATAGACCTTGACATATGCAAGTTGTAGTTACTGGGATGTATAGTTCACCTACAATCAAAGAGCATTCTGAACTCCACCAATAATGGAATTGAACAAAATATGGCACACAGAACTCCCATGACGAACAGAAAATATATATCAGTGATTGGTTGGGGGAGGGGGGGGCCCAAAATGCTGTTTGCTTACCGTTGAAAATTACCTAGGGCCGCCTCTGCCCGGTCCTCAAACACTCTCTGCTTCATTCGTCAAAATGCTGCACTCGCAGAGCTCAGGTGGTGTTGTATTTCAATAGCAATGCTGACCTATGTGGAGATGTGGATGTTACACCATTAAGCTGTATTTCTGGCTTTGTAGAAGGGTTGGTTGGTGACTGCTGGAAGAGCACTTTGGTTTTCTCGATGTTCAATGACAGACCGAGCTTCTTATATGTTTCTGCGATGGTGTTGAGAGTGGCTTGCAGGTCTTCTTCTGAATGCGCACAGATGACATTGTCATCAGCATATTGGAGTTCTATAACAGATGCTGTAACCTTGGTTTTGGCTTTCAGTCTGCTGAGATTAAATAGCTTGCCATCTGTCTGATAGATTATTTCCACCCAGTGGGACACTTCCCATCAAGTATCATAGCAATGAAGATGGAAAATAAGGTTGGGGCAATAACACATCCTTGTTTGACAACCAATTCCACCTTAAATTGGTCACTTTGGGAGCCACTGCTGTCCAAGACTGTTGCCAACATGTCATCATGGAGGAGCCGCAGGATGTTCACAAATTTTCCAGGGCACCTGATTTTTTGGAGGATGGTCCAGAGAGCAATGTGATTCACTGTGTCGAATGCTTTTGCAAGGTCAATTAATGTTGTTTTCTTCTTCTGCTAGACATGGTTCCATGGCTAACTCCTATCCTGAACAAGATGAATGTCAGCTTATTTTCCGCCGAGGCAGTCGATTTTTTTGCACAAGCGGTAGCAAAAATAAAGAAGCAGCGACAACAAGAAGCTGAAAAGGTAAAGAAAAAAAGAAAGAAGACATGACATAATGTAGAGTCTCGCTTATCTGACATAAACGACAGAACGTCGGATAAACGAAAATGTCGGATAATGCGGAGTCTTTTACTGTTACTCATCTGACGCAGCACTAAACACCTAGAATACTAACAACAGGGTCTCAAAGGATGAAGGCAAGGCAATGCCTCATGGATAGAGTGGCCCAGCAGGAAGTGCCCAAATGTGGAAGAGGATCGTGGAAATCACAGAGGGAAGGAGGAAGGCCGCTTCCACTTCCAGTCCTCCTTCTTTTCCCCCTTTCCTCTCTCCTCCTCTTCCTCCTTATTTTGCCTTTTTCACCTATTGGGAATGGAGAAGGAGAAGTAGGGAGCACTCCTTAAATTGAAGGGGAAATGCTGGAGGAAAAGGGGAGTGTCAGATAAGACAAAATGTCGGATAAGCGAAGGTCAGATAAGTGAGACTCTACTGTATATAGACTTCATCGGATGCATTGCAGAAAGTGTGTGTGTGTGTTGGGGGGGGGGGGATTTTCTTCTTAGCAAAGTATATTTTAAAAGACAGCTGGTAAATCATCAGCAATTATAAGATCTATCAACAAATAAGGTTGCAAGTTTCAAAACCCCAGGTTGGTGTGAGCTGCCAGCTGTCAGCCTAGCTCATTGTTTACTTACAATTTGAAACAGCTTTAGCTGTGATTAGATAAATTAGGTACCGTTAAAATGCGGGAAAGGTGTTTTATGATGCCAGAAAGAAAGAAGGTCAGAAAATGCTGGGCGACCAAAAGGAAGGAGGAAGTCCTAATGGCTCTTCGTCATAGAGGATTGAGCAACAGCACCTCCTGGACTCGAGCCTAACCTTCCGTGGCACCAAAAACAGCTGGACACTGAGTCGAAACAAACCACCTCCTTCTGTTCTGTCTGTCTGTGTGTTGTCTATACAAAGCGGCATTGAATGTTTGCCGTGTATATGTACTGTGATCCACCCTGAGTCCTCTTCGGGGTGAGAAGGATAGAATATAAATAAAGTATTATTATTATTATTATTATTATTATTATTATTATTATTATCAACTCAATTGAGCTTTGCAAGTTGTGGAATTAAACCAACCAAACCTTTCACATAGCCTTTTACTCTTGCCCAGTACTGGCCTTTCACTGTCTGTTCATAGCGATGACTGCTTTATTTATGTCCTAGGGCCGGGTGGATTTCTTGGCACTGATGATCGAATCCCAAAAATCAGAGACCAAATCCCAAAGTAATGGCATGAATCAAACGTACAAAGGTAATGGCATGAAAATTTTCCCAACTGACCAGATGGGGATCAAACTAGAATCAGTTTGTTGCTACTAGAGGTTTACAACAGGTTTTTTCTAAGTAACAGGAAGGATGAGAACAATTTATGTTACAGCTGCTACAAGTTAAATGGGTATGTGTTCTGCTTCTGCATATAACAAGGCACTAGCTTTGTAAGTGTTGAGCTTTGCATTTGCCTTAGCTTGATGGCTCATTATTAGAGCTGAAACAGTTGGCTATTGCTGGGAGTGGTTATGCAGCATCCTGAAGCTCAACCGTTTGGAGTGCCAAGGAAAACTGCTTATTTATGGCAAGATAAGGATATCCTACTGATAACAAAGCAGAAAGACTGTAATATTTTCTATCTGCATGTTGTCATTTAAAGAAGAAATCGTAATTGTTTTTAATATATTGTGTATGTATGGTTTTATATTGTTGTTTATATTGTGATATTGTGGCATCAAATTGTTGCCAGTGTTAGCCACTCTGAGCCCCCCACCCCTCAGGGGTTGAGAAGGGCGGGGTAGAAATGTTGTAAATAAATAAAGAAGAAGACTCACCAGAGATATAGTTTGTTACACATTGGTGAGAACAACTCTTCTGTTTTGCCTTGTATTATTGAACTACAGTGAATTGAACTATATTTTATGTATTGTCGAAGGCTTTCATGGCCGGAATCACTGGGTTGTTGTAGGTTTTTTCAGGCAATATGGACATGGTCTAGGGGCATTCTCTCCTGACGTTTCGCCTGCATCTATGGCAAGCATCCTCAGAGGTAGTGAGGTCTGTTGGAACTAGGAAAAAGTGTTTATATATCTGTGGAATGACCAGGGTGAGACAAAGGACTCTTGTCTGCTGGAGCTAAGTGTGAATGTTTCAACTGACCACCTTGATTAGCATATAATGGCCTGACAGTGCCTAGAGCAAACGTTTTTTGAGAGGTGATTAGATGTCCTTGTTTGTTTCCTCTCTGTTGTTGTGCTGTTGCAATTTCAGAGTTTTTTAAATACTGGTAGCCAGATTTTGTTCATTTTCATGGTTTCCTCCTTTCTGTTGAAATTGTCCACATGCTTGTGGATTTCAATGGCTTCTCTGTGTAGTCTGACATGGTAGTTGTGAGAGTGGTCCAGCATTTCTGTGTTCTCAAATAACATGCTGTTTCCAGGTTGGTTCATCAGGTGCTCTGCTATGGCTGATTTCTCTGGTTGAAGTAGTCTGCAGTGCCTTTCATGCTCCTTGATGCGTGTCTGGGCAATGCTGCTGCGTTTGGTGGTCCCTATGTAGACTTGTGTATGGTAGACTCCTGCAGAAGTGAGAGGATCCCTCTTGTCCTTTGCTGAATGTAGCATTTGTTGGATTTTCTTGGTGGGACTGTAGATAGTTTGTTATGTTGTGTTTCCTCATCAGCTTCCCTCTGCGGTCAGTGGTTCCCTTGATGTGTGGCAAGAACACTTTTCCTCTGGGTGGGTCTTTGTCTTTATTCTCGTGGCTTGTTCTTGGTCTTGCAGCTCTTCTGATGTCTGAGGTGGAGTCTCCATTGGCCTTTTTCCTAGTTCCAACAGACCTCACTACCTCTGAGGATGCTTGCCATAGATGCTGGCGAAACGTCAGGAGAGAATGCCTCTAGACCACCGCCATATAGCCCGAAAAAACCTACAACAACCCAATGAACTATATTTTCTTTTCTACTTAAAGCAACAGACCCATGTGTATTTTTTGAGATTTTACTCGCACTAAGAGTAAAAGGGGCTGAGATATTCTGCCAACTGCTAACACTATCCTGACACAGTTTTCATGACCAAGACTGTTGGGTGGGACCAGGTGAAATAAAAAGGGGTGATGTGTATAGAAGTGGAAGGTACCATTTGGCATAGGAAAAGGGATGTGTGTAATAAACCCTTCCTATCTAAGGTGGCCAAAAGAAGTGAGATATTTGGGATTGTATATATATTAATAGTGTTTTGTTGTTTTTCTTTTTTATTGTACTGTACGTGCTTGATATTTCACCCTTTGGTGGAAAAGGTATTGCAAAAAAAGTTGTTATTATTGAAGACCCTTGCCTTTAGAACACAGCTTTCAACTTGGCTTGGTTTTTCTTTTATAGCTTTGACCGATGAAGAGATTCTGGCCAATGCCATTATCTTTATCTTTGGGGGATATGAAGCCACCAGCAACGTCCTCTGCTACATGCTGTATGAGTTAGCCAGGCATCCCGATGTTCAGCAGAAACTGCAGGATGAAATTGATGCCGCTCTGCCAAATAAGGTACGTAGTAGCCCTATGAAGACAATGATGCTGGGGAAAGTGGAAGGTAAAAGGAAGAGGGGCCGACCAAGGGCAAGATGGATGGATGGCATCCTTGAAGTGACTGGACTGACCTTGAAGGAGCTGGGGGTGGTGACGGCCGACAGGGAGCTCTGGCGTGGGCTGGTCCATGAGGTCACGAAGAGTCGGAGACGACTGAACGAATGAACAACAAGTAGCCCTATGGCAAGGATGGGGGACATGTGGTCCTCTGGAGTCTCCTGGATGGCCACATCCACCAACCCTAGCCAACCAAGACAGTGGGAGGAGGACCTAGAATTTGCCACCCATCAATGTCTTGGAGTTATACATCATCTAAGGACCCATTCCTTGAAGTATGACCCTTACTCAACTGTGATTTGGCTATGTGACCTCACATCCTTATTTATTTGGAAACAATTAAGATTATTGTTGAAGGCTTTCATGGCTGGAATCACTGGGTTGTTGTGAGTTTTTCGGACTGTATGGCCATGTTCAAGAAGCATTCTCTCCTGATGTTTCGCCCACATCTATGGCAGGCATCCTCAGAGGTTGTGAGGTCTCCCAACCTCTGAATATGCCTGCCATAGATGCAGGCAAAACGTCAGGAGATAATGCTTCTGGAACATGGCCATACAGCTCAAAAAACTCACAATAACCCAATTAATATTATGTTACTAGCTTGGGTGCCCGCTGTTGCCTGGGTTATTTGAAAAAGTCAGTTTTTAATTGTCCAAAATGCATAAGGTAGTGGGTGAACTTCAACTCCCATCATGCCAGGTTAACCCTCAGAACCTCCATCAGTACTTAAAGTTTGTTGTGTTGGGCAAGTTTGCTCTAGATGCATCATTAATGTAGTTCAGCACTAAGTTCAGTACTTAGGCGATCCCTCGTTGTTCGAGTAGGATGGTCTTCCGAGATCAGTGTACTGGCGGTGGGTCTGTAGGTGACTGTGGAGCCCTATTCTTGATCTGCATCTTTTCCTGCAGTGAGGGCATTGGTGTCCAGGTGGAAGGCGGTCTTGGTCGGGGTTGGCTTGACGCACCTTCCTCTTGGCCCATTTCGTTCTCTTTCACCCTCTATTCTGCCAGGAAGCTTCAACTAGTCCAACAAGCGGCAGCCAGATTACTAACAGGAGTGGGGTACAGGGAGCATACTACTCCTCTGTTGCGCCAGCTCCACTGGCTGCCAATTAGCTTCTCAGCACAATTCAAAGTGCTGGTGCTGACCTATAAATCCCTAAATGACTCCGGCCCAGTTTACCTGTCTGAACGGATTCTCCCCTATGAACCATCAAGGTTGTTAAGATCTTCCAGAGGGGCCCTGCTCTCGGTCCCACCATCCTCGCAGGTGGGGACGAGGGACAGGGCCTTCTCGGTGGAACTCTGGAACTCTCTCCCACTGGAGATTAGAACTGCTCCTTCCCTCCTGACTTTTAGAAAATTGGTGAAAACTTGGCTCTGGAATTTAGCATTTGATGTGTGAGTCAAGAACTTCTGGCCACACGGACGGATGGTAATGAATTGTGATATCCTTTGGGCGACTTGGCTTTATGTAATTATATGATTGCTTTTTATGTATTTTATGTATTAATGTGTTTATGGTGTGATGTTTTAAACTACTGTTTTTTAATCATGTTGTAAACCGGCCTGAGTCCCTCTCTAGATGTTGAGAAGACCGGTATATAAAAGTTCTAAATAAATACATAAATAAATAAATATTCGTGCCTCTTCCAATTCTACAGCACTGCTGGTCACAGCTGACCTCCAGGTAGAGTGCTCAAGGGCCAGGGCTTCCCAGTTCTCAGTGTCTATGTCACAGTTTTGAGTTTAGCTTTAAGCCCATCTTTCAATCTCTTTTCCTGTCCACCAACATTATATTTCCCATTCTCGAGTTGGTAGTATAATAACTGCTTTGGGAGACAGTGATTGGGCATTCGGACAATGTGGCCGTTTTCCGTTCTTGAGTTCGGAGTAGAGCAACTGCTTTGGGAGACGGTGGTGGGGCATATAATACCTACCTAACGAGAAGTGTGTTGGCCTCCTGTTGGCTTCCAAGCCCTAATTCAAGGTGTTAGTCTTGACTTGCAAAGTCTTAAATGGCCTAGAATACATCCAACACTTGCCTCTTCTCTGATGTGCCTGGCCGAAACCTAAGATCCTCAACAGAGGTCCTGCTGCACACCCAACCACAATGTGAGGCTATGTCATGAAGGTATAAGTGGCAGCTCTTTCTTCTGAACAGTGACCCAACTGTAGACCTCTTTTCTGAAGAGATCAGCATGTCTCCATCCCCTTTGAGTGTGCAGAGAGGAGCACTATTTTGGTTGACCTTCAGACACTAAAATTAGCTCCGGCTGTTTTTAGACCTACTCTTAAAGAGAATCCTTAAGTGTTCCAATTAGCTTTTACTCACTTATTTAATCTTATTTTTACTTCTTGGACAATTGACAAGTAATTTAATTTATTTATTTGTCGTGTCAGAGCAACCAGTCCATTATATTACATTTCTAACAGAACAAAGCAAACAAACAGACAAAATACAAAAGTTGTGAGTTTGGTAGTTGATTAAATGTCCTTTGACCAGTATCTGGCCACTTGGAGTGCTTCTGGTGTTGCTGCAAGAAGGTCCTCCATGGTGCATGTGGCTGGGCTCAGGTTGCATTGCAGCAGGTGGTCAGTGGTTTGCTCTTCTCCACACTCGCATGTCGTGGACTCCACTTTGTGGTCCCATTTTTGAAGGTTGGCTCTGCATCTCGTGGTGCCAGAGCGCAGTCTGTTCAGTGCCTTCCAAGTCGCCCAGTCTTCTGTGTGCCCAGGAGGGAGTCTCTCATTTGGTATCAGCCATTGGTTGAGGTTCTGGGTTTGAGCCTGCCACTTTTGGACTCTCTTGCTGAGGTGTTCCAGCGAGTGTCTCTGTAGATCTTAGAAAACTATTTCTAGATTTAAGTCATTGACGTGCTGGCTGATACCCAAACAGGGGATGAGCTGGAGATGTCTCTGCCTTGGTCCTTTCACTATTGGCTGCTACTTCCCGGCGGATGTCAGGTGGTGCAATACCGGCTAAGCAGTGTAATTTCTCCAGTGGTGTAGGGTGCAGACACCCTGTGATAATGCGCATGTCTCATTAAGAGCCACATCCACTGTTTTAGTGTGGTGAGATGTGTTCCACACTGGGCATGCATACTCAGCAGCAGAGTAGCACAGCGCAAGGGCAGATGTCTTCACTGTATCTGGTTGTGATCCCCAGGTTGTGCCAGTCTACTTTCGTATGATATTGTTTCTGGCACCCACTTTTTGCTTGATGTTCAGGCAGTGCTTCTTGTAGGTAAGAGCACGGTCCAGAGTGACTCCCAGGTATTTGGGTGCGCTGCAATGCTCCAGTGGGATTCCTTCCCAGGTGATCCTCAGAGCTCGGGATGCTTCTCTGTTCTTGAGATGAAAGCACATGTCTGTGTTTTAGATGGGTTAGGGATCAGCTGGTTTTCCCTGTAATAGGCAGTAAGAGCACCTAGAGCTTCGGAGAGCTTCTGTTCTACCATAGCTCCTTGCTTGAGCGGTAATGGCACGACATCAGCATAGATGAAACTCTCTGTCCCTTCTGGCAGTGGCTGGTCATTTGTGTAAATGTTGAACATGGATGGAGCAAGCACGCTCCCCTGAGGCAGGCCGTTCTTCTGTTTCCGCCATCTGCTTCTCTGGCCGTGGAACTCAACAAAAAAGCTCCTGTTTTGTAGCAGGTTTCATTTTAAAAATGCCTTAAACAAGTAAATAGATTTGGTGCATTTTCCCCTCTTTTCCAATTGAATCATAACAACTTTGTGAGAGATGTCATGCTGAGAGGCAAAGCCAACCAGGGAATCGGATATCCCTTTCTAGATACTAGCGCCAAAGGTCTCTTTTACTTCTTGTGCGCTCTCTCAGAGAGTTGACAAGTAATTTAAAAAATGCCTTAAACAAGTGAATAGATTTGGTGCATTTCTCCCTCTTTTCCAATTGAATCATCACAACTTTGTGAGAGAAGTCAAGCTGAGAGGCAAAGCCAACCAGGGAATCGAACATCCCCTTTCTCAATACTAGGGCACTAGGTTGGATAGCCCTAAAGAGTATGTTGAAAGCAATCATGACCTACTTACCTGCAAAGCGCAACTCTCTCCGTCTCTCTCTCTTGAAGGCTCCGCTTGCTTATGAGGCCGTCATGCAAATGGAATACCTTGATATGACGGTCAACGAACTCCTCCGCCTGTATCCCATTGGCGGGAGACTTGACCGGATCTGCAAAAAGGATGTTGAGATAAATGGGATCACCATTCCGAAAGGCGTTTCCGTGATGATCCCTCCACACGTCCTGCATTTTGACCCAGACCTATGGGAGCAACCTGAAGAATTTAGACCTGAAAGGTACTGACGAGGAGTGTTGCGTCTTTCTGCATTGGCTCTTCTTTCGTCTAGTTTGTGGTCTTTTCTATTGGAATGATAATGAAAATGACAGTGAGGTTAAACTGCTAAGCTGCAGAACTTGCTGATTGAAAGGTCGGTGGTTCGAATCTGTGGGTGAGCTCCCATTGTTAGTCCCAGCTTCTGCCAACCAAGCAGTTAGAAAACATGAAAATGTAAGCTGCAGAACTTGCTGATTGGAAGGTTGGTAGTTTGAATCTGTGAACAGGGTGAACGCCTGTTGTTAGCCCCAGCTTCTGCCAACCAAGCAGTTTGAAAACGTGCAAATGTGAGTAGATCAATAGGTACTGCTTTGGTGGAAAGGTAATGGTGCTCCATGCAGAAAAGAAAAAGGGGGAAGGAAGGAAAGGGGTAGAGAAGGAAGGAGAGAAGAAAGAAGGAAGGAAAGAGGGAAGGAGGGATGGAAAGAAAGGAGAAAGAGGGAAGGAAGAAAAGAAGGAAAGAGAGAGGGAAGAATGGAAGCAAAAAGCGAAGGAAGGAAGAAAAGAGGTAGAGAAGGAAGAAAGGATCGAAAGAGGAAGGAAAGAAGGAAAGAGAAGGAAGGATGAAAACAAAAAGTGAAGGAAGGAAAGAAGTAGAGAAGGAAGAGAGGAGAGAAAGAGGAAGGAAAGAACAAAAAAGAAGGAAGGATGAAAAAAAGTGAAGGAAGGAAGAAAAGAGATAGAGAAGGAAGAAGGGAGGGAAAGAGGAAGGAAAGAAGGAAAGAGAAGGAAGGATGGAAGTAAAAAGTGAAGGAAGGAAGAAAAGAGGTAGAGAAGGAAGAAAGGAGAGAAAGAGGAAGGAAAGAAGGAAAGAGAAGGAAGGATGGAAGCAGAAAGTGAAGGAAGGAAGGAAGGAAGGAAGGAAGGAAGGAAGGAAGGAAGGAAGGAAGGAAAGAGGTAGAGAAGGAAGAAAGGAGAAAAAGCAGAAGGAAAAGAAAAGGGGGGAAGGAAGGAAAGAGGGAGAGAAGGAAGAAAGGAGATAAAGGGGAAGGAAAAGAAAAAGGGGGAAGGAAGGCAAGAGGGAGAGAAGGAAAGAAAAAAGGGAAGTAAGGAAAGAGGGCGTGAAGGAAGGAGGGAAAGAAGAAGAGAAAGATGGAGGGAAGAAAGGAGGAGAGAGTATTACAAGCAAAAAGTGAAGGAAGGAAGGAAAGTGGTAGAGAAGGAAGAAAGGAGAGAAAGAAGGAAGGAAGGAAGGAAGGAAGGAAGGAAGGAAGGAAGGAAAGAGAGAAGGAAGAATGGAAGAAAAAGCAAAGGAAGAAAGAAAAGAGGTAGAGAAGGAAGAAAGGAGAGAAAGGAAGGAAAGAAGGAAAGAGAAGGAAGGAAGTAAGAAGTGAAGGAAAGTAGAGAAGGAAGAAAGGAGAGAAAGAGGAAGGAAAGAAGGAAAGAGAAGGAAGGATGGAAGCAAAAAGCAAAGGAAGGAAGGAAAGAGGTAAAGAAGGAAGAAAGGAGAAAAAGCAGAAGGAAAAGAAAAAGGGGGAAAGGAAGGAAAGAGGGAGCAAAAGCTGGCCATAGCAATGCGTGGCGGGTACAGCTGGTTTACATATACATAACATCCTGGAGGTGGGATCCAAATCTAACCACAACATTTATTTCTGCTTCATCGATATCTCACCGACATAGCCTGAAGGTCATTTCATAATCTTGTGTTCACTGAACCGTCAGAGAACAAAGGCGTCATTGTCTTGTCACCCATATGGACGGTTTTGGATTTTGGAGTATTTCCCAGATAAGGAATGCCCGACCTATGCAGCGATTGTGTGGCAAGCGCAAATGAGCGAGTGCCGCACATCTGCATGATAAAACACACCGTGCCCGGAGGGTTTTCAAAACTGGCCATCCCTGCTTCCGATGATCCTCCCCATCCCTCCCTCTTCCAAGGTTTGTTTTTCTCATGTCAACTTCTGCAAGATAACAGGTGGAGAGGCGTGATGTCAGCACAACACAGTGCCAGGGGGTGATTTTTTTCCCTACCTAGCCAGAAGGTAGCTTGCATTAATGAGCTGACTCCTGTCAGAGCGGAGACGACAACGTTTTCAAACCATTTGAAGAAGTTTTCTTCAGCTGACCTCCCATCAAATGTGTTGCAATGAGTTTGGACTGTGTTGCTGTTAAGTTTTTTGGGCTGCCTGGCCATGTTCCAGAAGCATTCTCTCCTGATATTTCGCCTGCATCTATGGCAGGCACACTCAGAGGCTGTGAGGTCTGTTGAAAACTAGGCAAGTGGGGTTTATATGAGGGCTGAATGAAAACTAATGCCTCCACTTTCGTTACTTGGATTTGGATGGGGATATTTTAATAAATATTCCTTGAAATAATCCTTAAAATGTGCTCCTTAACTACCACTATTCACTTTTCCACATAATCACCAGACAATTGGATATATTTCTCCCAACGATGAACAAGTTTTCTGAAGCCGCCACGGAAGAAGTCGATAACCAGCGTCTCATAGTTCTCTCAACATCTTCCTCAGAAGCATCATGATGTCCCCACAGATCTTCTTTCATTATCAGGAACATGATCATCCTGAATCATGATCGTCCTGAATCAATCTGTCAACCTTTTGCTTGTGAAACTCAGTGGTTGCTGTCACAGGACGTCCAACTCTTTGTTTCTCATGCAAGTCAGATATTCCCACCTCAACATCTTTAAACTTTCTCGCCCAACGATGCACAGTACTCACATCCACACAATCACCATCAACAGCTTGCATTCTTTTAGGAATCTCCTTTGGGGTGACACCTTCTGCTGTCAAGAACTCACGTTGCTTAAGTCACATTGACCGACCATCTGCACAGGGTTCCATACTTTGCACTTTAACAACACAACCGTTCAATGCTAAGGCTTCCCGCCAAAATAGAACTATAGAGGAGAGTCTACTGAACAAGCTAGTACCTGCCGCATACGTTGCTTAAGTTGCATTGACCGACCGTCTGCACAGGGTTCCATACTTTGCACTTTAACAACACAACAGTTCAATGCTAAGGCTTCCCACCAAAAGGGAACTGTAGAGGAGAGTCTACTGAACAAGCCAGTACCTGTCGCATACCAGTACTGCCATCTGTTGAGGAGTTACGAAGGTGGAGGCATTACTTTTCATTCAACCCTTGTATATCTGTGGAATGTCCCAGGTGGGAGAAAGAACTCTTGTTTGTTGGAGGTAGGGGTAAATGTTTCAATTGGCCACCTTAAATTAGTATTTATTGGCCTAGCAGTTTTCAAGGTATGGCTTCTTACTGCCTGGGTTGAATCTTTCGTTGAGAGGTGATTAGCTGTCCCTGATTGTTTCTTGTCTGGAGTTCCCCTGTTTTTTTTAAGAGTTCCTCTTTATTTACTGTTATGATTTTAGTTTTTTTAAATTCTGGTAGCCAGATTGTGTTCATTTTCATGGTTTCCTCCTTTCTGTTGAAATTGTCCACATGCAAGTGATTTTGGCCTGCATTAATAGGAGTATAGTGTCTAGATCCAGGGAATCTAGAATCTAGAAAACTGGTAGGCTTACAGAAGCAAATGTGGCCTACAAGTGAGGCAAGTTTCATGCTGATAGACCTAAAATCGATGGAGAAATGAGCTTCTAAAGTTTCCCATCGGGCAGCAATGGACCAAATCTTGACGCATTAGAGAGATGAATGGCCAAAATTAACAAAATGAAGTTCAACAGAGACAAATGCAAGATACTCCACTTAGGTAGAAAAAACGAAATGCAAAGATACAGAATGGGGGACAATGCCTGGCTCGAGAGCAGTACGTGTGAAAAAGATCTTGGAGTCCTCGTGGACAACAAGTTAAACATGAGCCAACAATGTGATGTGGCGGCAAAAAAAGCCAATGGGATTTTGGCCTGCATCAATAGGAGCATAGTTAGATCTAGGGAAGTAATGCTACCCCTCTATTCTGCTTTGGATAGACCACACCTGGAATTTGTCCAATTCTGGGCACCACAATTCAAGGGTGATATTGACAAGCTGGAATGTGTCCAGAGGAGGGCAATTAAAATGATCAAGGGTCTGGAGAACAAGCCCTATGAGGAGCGGCTTAAAGAGCTGGGCATGTTTAGCCTGAAGAAGAGAAGGCTGAGAGGAGATATGATAGCCATGTATAAATATGTGAGAAGAAGCCACAGGGAGGAGGGAGCAAGCTTGTTTTCTGCTTCCTTGGAGACTAGGACGCAAGGAAACAATGGCTTCAAACTACAAGAGAGGAGATTCCATCTGATCATGAGGAAGAACTTCCTGACTGTGAGAGCTGTTCAGCAGTGGAACTCTCTGCCCGGAGTGTGGTGGAGGCTCCTTCTTTGGAAGCTTTTAAACAGAGGCTGGATGGCCATCTGTCAGGGGTGATTTGAATGCAATATTCCTGCTTCTTGGGAGGGGGTTAGACTGGATGGCCCATGAGGTCTCTTCCAATTCTGATTCTATGATTCTACCTTGGGATCTTTTGCTGCATCACACTTCTGCCACTGAATTTGCTGCGCTGCCAAAGTCTCGTGGCACGATAATAAAGAAAGATGCTTCTCTCCAAGTAAACAAGCTGCTTAGAAGTTGTTCACTTTGATTTAAAAGTGGATCATACTTATTTACTTTCTTTTTTGGCAGTGCCACTTTTCCAGCACCACCTTTCAAAGGTGTTCATTCTCTTCCTGTTGACTTCCTTTCTTTTCCTTTCATATAAATTGGGAATATTAAAGCACACATTCTTGTGACTTCAATGCTCAGTGAATCCAATTGTTCAGAGAGCTAACAAATGGTCTCCTCTGTCCTTTTCTCCCCCAACAGGTTCAGTAAAGAGAACAAAGGCAGCATAGACCCCTATGTTTATCTGCCGTTTGGAGCCGGTCCACGGAACTGCATCGGGATGCGATTTGCACTTCTCGTCCTGAAGGCTGGTGCTGTGAGCTTGTTGCAGAATTTCACCTTCAAGCCCTGCAAGGAAACACTGGTGAGAAAGCGGGATGGAGCTCAGCTCATGCATATTTGGAATAGATCAGGGCTTTTTGTGGGCAGTAGAGGTAGCCATGTTAGATCTTGTTAGATCCGGGTTAGACTACTTCAGCATACTCTATGTAGGGTTGCCCTTGAAGACTGTTCATAAGCTTCAAATAGTCCAACAGGCAGCAGCCAGGTTTCTTATTGGAGTGGCATACAAGGAACATACAACCTCCCCCGCCCCCCGTTACGTCAGTTCCACTGGCTTTATTATTTATTTATTTATTTATTTTGAATATTTGTACCCCATCCTTCTCTACCCCCAAATTCCAAAGTTGCTTCGTCTGACTATAGATTCTGTACTTGGCACTTTTATCCCCTGAACTACACTATGTCCCAAGCAGCCAGGAACAGATTTCATTTCAGCCTTGACTCTGTTATCAATGTCTCTCTCAGTCTGGCAGAACATTGGAGAGATTGGTTTGTTTGCCAGTGCTGATTGAAAATATGCCTTCTATCTACTGGCTCATTAATTTCTGCAGCWGSCRCAGGTGCTGACCCAGGTGCTTCCAAGGACCAAGGACCAGGAAAGGCYTCTTGACTCAATMCCAATGTTGRTTCYTCTGACTATKGATTCTGTACTTGGCACTTTTATCCCCTGATCTACTCTATGTCCCAAGCGGCCAGAAACGGATTTCATTTCAGCCTTGACTCTGTTATCAATCTCTCTCAATCTGGCGGAACGCAGGAGAGATTGATTTGTTTGTCTGTGTTGACTGAAAATATGCCTTCTATCCACTGGCTCATTAATTTCTGCACCTTTTCTCAAACTCAAAGTCCTGGGAATTTTCAGGCTCAAAGTCCTGGGAATTCTCTGGTAGCAATTCAGGCCCTCTTCCAGGGACCATACCGCCATCCCCAAACCCTTCAGGAACATTATCATCAGAAAAGACACTTTGAACAGGAATCCCATTGTCATTCTCTGCATCTAAAGCAACCTCATCATTAGAGACATCATTCTCATTCCCAACATCCAGAGTACCCTAATCGTTAGACACAATCACAGGCTGAACTCCAACAGTCACACATTTCCGATAGCAGTGTAAACATCTGATAGATGTTCAAAGAGCATCTCTGAGCATGTCCCATATTTCAAAAGGGAGACAGTGAACTTTACTCTTCATTTTTTTTTGAGGAGTAAGGGAGACTTTCGACATCTGATTATGCAACAGTATAATTATAATCTCTTTCTCCTCTTTTGTGTTACAGATCCCCATGGAGTTGTCTTCAACAGGACTGATGATTCCCAAAAAGCCCATCATCTTGAAAGCAATCCCCAGAGCCAGCTCTTCACACTAGTGGAGGCTTTCGAGTTATGTTTCTAAACATTCCTTAGGGACCATTATTTCACCTGCGCCACCAGGAAAACAGCTGCCATTGTGAACTGTTCTTTTGTACGTAATGGTTGAGGCTATATTTGCATAAAGTCCCATATCCCCTGCCGTGGGAAGGCACAAATGTCTCTGGGATTTTTCTTCCCTCAAAAGAAGAAGAAAAAGGAAGAGGACAGGAAACAACGAATGTCTGCCTGTGCTCCCCACATTTCTACTTTCTGGTGGCTTAAGTAAAAAGTCTATTGTTCTGGTACAGCCGCACCAGGAGCTCCAGCTTATCTTGCTATTTGTTGATTACTGCATGTATTTTAAAGTTCTATGCTTTGCAGTTAAATGGCTTTCCTTAGTTTGCATTTATTGGATCTATGACGTGTCAATTATCGTTAGGTTCCCTGGTCCCGCCCCCTTTTTGAGTTTTGGAGGGAATAGGAGCCATTTTGGGTCAGTCCACACAGAGAAGCCTTTCATACAGGACATAAAACCAGGAGCTCCTGTAGAAAGCTTTGTCTTCTACAGCTTGGCTGGGGATATACAGCCCCATAGCTTGGCCAGAGAGATGCAGTCTCAGCACAGCTCTTTTGCTGAGGATTTTACAGCCTTTCATCTCCTTTGCTGAGGGAATCCGGTCCCACAGCACTTCAGCTAGAAACCTGAACACCTTCCTTTCCCCTGGAAGTCTACAAAGCTCTGCTTGGTAAGGGTCACTTGCGGAAGTCAGAAGCAGTTGGTACCGGGTGTAGAGGCAAAGACAGACTGCCCAGATAAGAAGTTAAGGATTTCCCCATGAGTTAAAATACAGTTATGAAGATAGTGCCTGTTCCCTGTGGATGAGATTGAGAGAGAGCCAATAGACTGTTAAGAAAGCCTTGAAGTACCTGTTTGATTTCAATAATAAAGAACTTTGTTTAAGCAATCTAAAGACTCTGTTTAAGGAAATCCAAAGGCCTTTAGCCTGAGGCAGCCCCGGCGTCCCGTTGAGCACACAGAATTTATGTCCAGTCTACAGTCCTTTGTACAGGCCCGGCGTGCGACAGCACACCTATGTCAAGAAAAAATGGCATAAATTAAGGGATCCCACTCATAAATAACTTCTGTTGGTCCACTAGTCGAGGAAACTTGGCTGTAGAAGTTATCCAGAATGGTGTAGGAAAGTGTTAGTTCTTGACCTGAGATCAAGGTTGGAATCCCTCCGCAACTGTTGAAGCCCACCAGGTGACCTGAGCTAAGTCACACTCTCTCGACCTCAGAGGAAGGCAAAGGCCAAGCCTTGTCAAAAAAATAGAATTGCCTTGGGATCACCATAAATCAGAAATGACTTGAAGGCGCACAACAAGAAAGTCTAGGAAGCATATAAGGATAGATTTCATTCGATATCGGGCTCACAGTGAGTAGTGTTGGAAATCATGGGTGGTGGGTTCATGGGTGGGGGTAGGAGGGGAAAGATTGGATAGAATACTGCAATATATTGGTTGAATTGTATTATCTTTAGATCTTCCTGCTGTACATATTTTGTATCTCATTAATTTCACTCAATAAATTTATAAACATTTTTTTTAAAGTCTAAGAAGCACTATTCATGCTAAGTGAGCAGTTTCTGTTGTTCATGGGGGTTCTATTTGTGGGAAATTTGGCCCAATTTTATCATTTGTGCGGTTCAGAATGCTCTTTGATTGTAGGTGAACTATAAATCCCAGCAACTACAGCTCCCAAAATATCAAGGTCTTTCCCCCCCCCATACTCAACCAGTGTTCACATTTGGGTATATTGAGTATTCGTGCCAAGTTTGGTCCAGAACCATCATTGTTTGAGTCCACAGTGCTCTCTGGATGTAGGCAAACTACAACTCCAAAACTCAAGGTCAATGCCCACCAAACCCTTCCAGTATTTTCTCTTGATCATGGGAGTTCTGTGTGCCAAGACTGGTTCAATTCCATAGTTGGTGGGGTTCAGAATGCTCCTTGATTGCAGGTGAACTATAAATCCCAGCAACCACAACTCCCAAATGACAAAATCAACTCCCCCCAACCCCACCAAATCTGGACGTATAGGGTATTTGTGGCAAATTTGGTCCAGTGAACTAAAATACATCCTGCATATCAGATATTTACCATTGATAGCAATAGCAAAATGACAGTTATGAAGTAAGAAGGAAAATAATTTTATGGTTGGGGATCACCACAACATGTGGAATTGTCTTAAGGGGTCGCAGCATGAGGAAGGTTGAGAACCACTGTTTTAGCACATGTCATGACCTCCTTTTCTGGTTTTGTGTGGAACCAATAAAGAAGACCTTGCCTTAGCTTGCCCTGGCCTGTGCATACTTGAAATAAGGGAAAGGGCTTCCATGGAAATGGGAGCAATGAAGAGGAGGTGCCAGGGTGAGGGATAGGAGGTGCAAGGGAAAGAAACTGTCAGTTGGAATTTTGTTTTGTAACCACACTGTATCCTTTGACGTTAAACCTTCCCACTCTGTTTGTGGGGTAATTTCTTCACCAGAAAATTGCAGAACAGGGCAGCACATACTGAAATGTAATTGGTTACATGGCTTAGGATTGTTATAAAGAAGTAGAGCTAAAAATATGAATTATGAGAGGTGGCCCCACTGGGAAGGATAGTTAGAGTGCCGCAGGGTTCCGTCCTGGGCCCGGTCCTGTTCAACATCTTTATTAATGACTGAGATGAAGGGCTAGAAGACAGGATCATCAAGTTTGCAGAGGACACCAAATTGGGAGGGATAGCCAATACTCCAGAGGATAGGAGCAGAATTCAAAAATTTGTTTCTAAAATCGATTTGTAATTGGGGTGTTTTTTTGTTTCGATATTTAAAATAATTACAAAACTTTCCCCAAAAAGTTTTGGTATTTACGAAATTTTGTAAATATTAACGAATTTTTAGAATATTTTTTGTATTTTTTAAGAATAATATTAAAATAATATTAAAAAATATTTTAAAATGGAAAATTAACCAAAAAATGGCCCAAATGTGGACCAAACACAGGCAGGAGACAGCAAATGAGAGCACACCAACAGAAGAGTCTTTTCTTTTTTAGAATATTTTTTAAGAATAATATTAAAAATAATATTAAAATAATATTAAAAAATATTTTAAAATGGAAAATTAACCAAAAAATGGCCCAAATGTGGACCAAACACAGGCAGGAGACAGCAAATGAGAGCACACACCAACAGAAGAGTCTTTTCTTTTTTAGAATATTTTTTAAGAATAATATTAAAATAATATTAAAAAATAATATTAAAATAATATTAAAAATATTTTAAAATGGAAAATTAACCAAAAAATGGCCCAAATGTGGACCAAACACAGGCAGGAGACAGCAAATGAAGCAAGCAGCACTCACAGCAGCAAGGAATGAATCCAATCCAGTTGCTAGCCATTAGCCAAGCCAACCCAATGCAAACTCCCTCGCCCTCTGCAGCAATGAGCTACGGCCGCGCGGAGCCGCTTTGAAAGGGCTCGCCGGCCAATCAAAAACAAACAGCCACGGACCCACGGTGCACTGCTTGGGAGCGCAGGATTGGCTCCCAGGCACCAGCACTCCAGCAGCCTCCACCCCATTAACGAAACGAGCGGAAGCTCGTTAAATCTATGGGGGCTGCTGGTTCGATATTTTAAAACCCTTCCGGGTTTGGAAATGTGTTTTGATATCGCTTCAAAAATGCCAAAAATAACGAATTAATAACGAATTAACGAATTAACGAACGAAACCGCACAGGCCTAATAGCCAATACTCCAGAGGACAGGAGCAGGATTCAAAACCATCTTGACAGATTAGAGAGATGATGGGCCAAAACGAACAAAATGAAGTTCAACAGGGACAAATGCAAGATACTCCACTTTGGCAGGAAAAACAAAATGCAAAGATACAGAATAGGGAACAATGATGCCTGGCTTGAGAGCAGTACATGTGAAAAAGATCTTGGAGTCATCGTGGACAACAAGTTAAACATGAGCCAGGAATGTGATGTGGCGGCAAAAAAAGCCAATGGGATTTTGGCCTGCATCAATAGGAGCATAGTGTCTAGACCACCTTGATCAGCATTTGATGGCCTGACAGTGCCTGGAGCAAACTTTTGTTGAGAGGTGATTAGATGTCCTTGTTTGTTTCCTCTCTGTTTTGTTGTTGTTGTTGTTGTTAAAACTGTTTATTTTGATTATGGTACATAACAGAAAAGCAAACCATGGCAAATCAGATATAATCAGGTACCAATATTTTTGACGTGTACATGCCTATCTAACTTATTCAATCAATCAGTTAATTTTGACATTAGGTAGAAATTATTATCATTTACATATCTTAATACACATAGACTTGCTATTTCTGCCTGTTTTCCACTGCTTTCAGTCAGAGCTTTCTATTAAATTTTTTCCATAACATTCAGGAAATCAGCACATGGCATTTTACACACATACCACAGACCTTACACTCATCCCAAAACCCCTATCCTAAACAAAATAATTTGTTTGTTTCCTCTCTGTTGTTGTGCTATAGTAATTTCAGAGTTTTTTTTAATACTGGTAGCCAGATTTTGTTCATTTCCATGGTTTCCTCCTTTCTGTTGAAATTGTCCACATGCTTGTGGATTTCAATGGCTTCTCTGTGTAATCTGACATGGTGGTTGTGAGAGTGGTCCAGCATTTCTGTGTGTCCAGGTTGGTTCATCAGGTGCTCTGCTATGGCTGATCTAATCTAATCACCTCTCAACAAAAGTTTGTTCCAGGCACTGTCAGGCCATTATATGCTAATCAAGGTGGTCAGTTGAAACATTCACACCTAGCTCCAGCAGACAAGAGTCCTTTCTCCGACCCTGGTCATTCCACAGATATATAAACCCATTTTCCTGTTCCAACAGACCTCACTACCTCTGAGGATGCTTGCCATAGATACAGGCGAAACATCAGGAGAGAATGCCTCTAAACTTTTTAAACCAGGGGCCAGTTCACTGTCCCTCAGACCGTTGGAGGGCCGGACTATAGTTTGGTTTTGTTTTTTTTAAATCAATTAAAAAATTCCTCTGCACATTGCACATACCTTATTTTGCGGTGTGGAAGGGCCCTTAGAGGGAGGGGGTTCTTTCTAGCCCTCTTTAGGCAGTAATTCCAGGAGCAGAGAAGGGGAAATCTTCCTATTTCTAGTCTGAACAAAATCTGGCTACCAGTATTAAAAAAACCTCTAAACTGTAAATAAAGAATAACACTCAAACACAGGGGAACTCCAGACAAGAAACAATCAGGGCCAGCTAATCACCTCTCAACAAAGGATTCTCCCTAAAAACTGTCAGGCCATGAAATGGCAATCAAGGTGGCCAATTGAAACAATCATACCTACCTCCAACAGACAAGAGTTCTTTCTCCCACCCTGGATCTGCCACAATTTTCCTGGTTAAAGGTTTTCCTCTGACATGAAGTCCAGTCGTGTCTGACTCTGGGGTGTGGTGCTCATCTGCATTTCTAAGTCGAAGAGCCGGCGTTGTCCGTAGACACCTCTAAGGTCATGTGGCCGGCATGACTGCATGGAGCGCCGGGGCAGCCTCCCTTGGCTGGCTCACGCTGCCCATCGGGCCCAATGGATAGTGTGAGCCCGCCAAGGGAGGAGCAGCCCCGCGCGGCCTACTTGCACGTAAAGCACCTCACAAGGTGCTTTACGCGTGAGTAGACCACGTGAAGCAGCCTCCCTTGGCTGGCTCACGCTGCCCGTTGGGCCTGATGGATAGCGTGAGTCAGCCAAGGGAGGGCCATGTGTGGGTGGGGGGCGCGCGCTCCTCCTCCGCGGGCCGGATAAGTACCCTTGGCGGGCCGGAAGTGGCCCACGGGCCGTAGTTTGGGGACCCCTGCTCTAGACCATGGCCAAAAAAAACCTACAAGAACCCAGTGATTCCGGCCAAGAAAAGTAG